ATCATAGTATCTCAAACACGATTTTGGAAAATACTCTTTTTCTTCCAGTAAAACTGAACGATTTTCTTTGTTCTTTTTTTTTCTTCTCAGCAATTTTGATGACCTCAGGACATCCTTGTGTAAAGTGCTCTCTTTCTGTTTTTTTTTCGTCCTTAGGATCTGTATCACGGGTGACGTTTAATGGAAGACACTAATGAATAGACGTCAAAATAGAATGAAAATTAACTGAGAAGGACTACTATATACATATACATAAGTATCATGTAGCCTTGAATGCCAGCATAGCATACCATATATTGCTTTTAATCACTATTATATATTTATTATCAATGTAGAAAAAAACTTCGAGATGTCTTACATCATAAAAAATAAGTTTAATAATTAATAATTTTGAATGATGTAGACATGACCTTTATCCTATAGTTTTTACTTCAATAGACAGATAGACTGATTGAGAAGAAAAGAAAAAGAACAACAAACTTGTTTATATGACATGAATGTTAAGTGCTCTTCAATAATAAGATAAACAATCATCGTTCTCATGATGACTTTTGAAATCTCATAAAGATGCAAACGACTCATGATTAATGGAAATAACCTGTTTTTTTTTCGCTCATGGTCATAGTATCGTGCAATGTCTTTAGTCTATATATAAATGAAGTTGATGAGATCAGCAAATCAAAATAGACAGCAACAGCTGATAACAACATCTTTTCTATATTGATGAGCAAGTAAAGAAAAATGAATGATTTACATAGTTTAATTGCCTGTAAATAAAAGTCGAGGAGAAATATGAATGTCTGTTGATTACTAATTATGTATATACAGTATAAAAAACATTTTTTAATCTTGTGTCTTAAATAAACAATCGTAGACATAGTATTTTGGTTTCGTAACGAAAAAAACTATTATTATCGTTGTCAAACAAAAATAGGAATTTTTAATTATATAAGTAATGTCAAACATATTGAAAATATTTCGATTTAGAACTATTATGCAACTGATTTTTTTTGATATAATCACTATTATATGGAAAATATAAAATGAGAAAATTCAATTATGGAATTCTTTTACAGAGCAAAATGCATGAGTATTCTATGACTTATTCTGCGTACATAGTTATTTTTTTTTTGCTAATGCAAGTGATACTATTCATTAGAACATTTCTATCTTTTCTGAAAATTATTCAATGAACTATTTTTTACCATTATCTGTCAATTTTATATTCAGTCGACTGTCACATATTGACAGGATTCCATTAAATGATTTTTTTTTTCATTAGACATAGTTCACTTGTAAAAGCAGTGATACACAGCTGAATGTAACACCTTTGCTCTTATTCTCATTTTCAATGATACAGAACACATGCGTTTCATTTTGTTATAGAAAAAAAGAAGTTTAACATCTCTATTCAATGAAAAGACGATCAGTTTTCATAAAACAGAATAACTTTTTGTTTGATTATTCGTTCTTTGATTACCTTCTTTCTCACATTGGTACTCAAAGTAAGATAAATAATTGTTGTTTGTTTTATGCCTTTCTTCCATACGTAACGCAATATAATTCATTGAACATTATCGTTTCTTCGTTGTTTGTTTGCTATCGATATCAAACGCGTATGAATCATTTGTAAGAGCAATTGAACGTGTGAAATCAAAATTAATAGTGACACATTTTTAACAAAGGAATTCAACCTTATCAGTTAAATACAATGCTCATTCATTCAAACAATTTTATTGAACATAATGATAACTTCAGTTGCTTTTTTTTTTTATCGACTCAAATATTAAAAAATAAAAAATGTCTTCGTCAAAAAACATTGATTATCCAATAACAATCTCATTCATCGTTTTCAAAATGATCATGTACTGTAGCAGAATCCATCCATCGATCGATTGCTTAAAGAATTTCATCTATAATTTATTCATCTATTCAAGATAAAGAATGATCTAGTAGATTGTACCTTTTTCTTTTCTTTTCTTTTTTACTATACATTACAAATGATAAGATTAAAATTAATCATACATATAATGACAGGAATTAAAGTACAAAAAATACGAATACATCCTCCGACAAGCGATTAAGATAACTTGAATCATGTTATCGGAGTACATTTAAAGATATGTGAGCCGTTTCTTTTTTCTCGATGTTTATCAAGTCTATCAGTCAATATTACAATAGTTACCACATCGAGTAAGATGAGATAAGAAATGAATAATTGCCTAATCGATGTGCAAAGCACAAAAAAAAAAGAATACTAAAGAATCTGAATAAAATATAACATTATAAACAAAAGTTGATGACATACATATAAAGATAGGATATTCAAGAAATAAGAAACATTCATTATCAATGACTAAAACAAAAAGATAAAAGAATGATATAATTTTGATTTATAGATTTTTTTATCAAGATGAAATATAGTATATCGAAGTACACATCATATCAAACAAATAAAAGATCGTTGAAATCTTTCATTTACTTCAAAAATATCTTCTGATAATGAATTTTGTCGGAATAATAAAAATTAAAAAAAAACTGGAACTTCATAAAAAATATTCATTAAAATGACGTGATAGTGTTTTATTTATTCTTTATACATCTATCATTTTTTATTTTAAATTCTCTCTATCCAATTAGAGAAGTTTAACTCATCAATATTGAAATAATAAATTATCAAATCATCTTTATTTCAATCATTTATCATCATCATTGGTTAATTATTCTCCTACAAAGAAATCAATCTCAATGTCTAGCTAATCGAAAAACAATTTGAACAACAAATACTTTCCAAATAAGATTATCTTGTCTTGTCAAAGACCAGCATGACTTAAACAAGTTACTAACAGTTGTTTGTCTCGGATCATTCGTCCGATAGCATGCTGACTACGTTTTAATATACATCTGCTTTTATAGTCAGTATGTGGGTAGTTAGTGTGATAGGAAGTAGAGACAATTGAGCATAAAAATTGTGCAATGAACTAGAGATACTGCTAGTATTTGTTGTATGGAGAATATTGGGTTACTCAATCTGCTGCTGGTCATCATCGAATATGTTGAGATACTCGAAAGACAGAAGTCTTCTTCTTATGTTGTCAATGTTATCTATATTTTAACTTTGGTTAGAAATAAAATATGAAAAAAACAGATCGATTCATAGGTCAATTAATGCAAAGACTAGAATGAATTATTCTCATTAACAGTATACTTTCTAAACTAAGTCATCATTTAGTGAAACTAATTTAATTACTATTGAATTTGATTGTTTTCATACATTATTTTGACATTCAATTAAATAACAAAAAAAAACAGTATCAAAAACGAACATTTTGTTTTTGTTTGTCATGAAAATAATATTCATTCTTATTATTAACAAGAAATGAAACAAAAATATGTTTAGTTTTCTTGTGAGAATAGTGAACATGAAAATTGTTCAATTGAATTTTCATCACGATGATGTTGGGTATACAATCAAAGTAACTCTTTGTAAATTTAAAAAAAAATGATTTGACAATTCCTTATGAAACATTGAACGACTATTTTGTTTACTTTTTAATACTCAAAAGTTTATGAAATAGGCGTAACAGTAAGCATGATTAACAAAAACAAGTTTTTTCGGTAAGATCTGTTAATCTAAAAAAAAACAAATGTTTCTGTTAAATTAATAAACAATTATCGTCTGTATTATCATAACTTAAGAGTATTTTTATTTTTACCTACTAATCTCGCTTCGTATTGTCATTCTTTACTTCACCCGTATAGCAGTCAAATCATAGACAAAATATACTTATTCATACTTCAAAAGTAAAGTCATATGGGCAAACGGGACCATCAAAAAGTGTTCACTGTTCAAAATACGAAGGTATTCACATTAGAGAAGTGCATTTCCAGTAAGAATCGCCCTACCGATCCCGAGACCGTTCATAATAAGAAAGTGTTGACAAGTAGAGGTTTTCCTGTATACTTTAATTTCGCTCTTATTAAATCAACAAAATAAAAATATCAACTAGCTATTGTTATGTTGTGAATAATGATAAATGTGCACCACAATAACATTTCGCTAAGTTGGGATAATTCATAATCGTTTTCATGTAGTTTTTCTTTAATGTCAAGCAAATAAAAATTTATAAAGAACTTATTAATCGAGAATTTGATAAACACAATTCAAGTGTTCTATAGTTTTTAAAGGATTATCTTTAACAGCAAAACTCATAAGTGCAAGTTGGAAAATATTCAATATTGCATACAATATCTTTCATATTTGAAAAATCATAATCTTCTCATGAAGAGATACAAAAGAATAATTTTAATTCTATTTTCATTGTTATTAATAGAATGAATTATTTTTAATTATGCTGAAAAGCTATTGCTATTCGAAATGTAACATTTATTTAATCGATAAAACTTATCTTTGTTGTTTTCTTGCTTCAAGAGACTATCGTTTCATTAAAACAAAAAAAAAAACATAGTTCATTCATTTACTTCTGTTTAGAAGTCTGTCGAATAAGACACAAAATGTATTCTAAAGGGCTTTTACAATAAATACCCATAGAGACATGTGTTACTTATCTACCGATAGCAATGATCTCATTATTCTGTTTATAACACAGATTTTATCTGAATGCGAGCAATGCTCGTTGTCATCATCATCATCCATCTGTACTTTCAAATAGTATGTTCTAGTAGAATTCGAAATACATTCAATAATAAGATAAATCAAGTGTCAATATATATATTTTAATAGGTTTTATTTATTTCTGTTATAATATCTTATCTTGTTTCGAATTTATTTACAGATAGTTCTCCACAAGAAATTAACTAAGAATTTGTTGTTTAAGATGAATAACTAAAATGAAATTTTAATCATCCGACACGATCTCACATGCACACACACGATACGACAATTTACTTGACAGAAAAAAAAAAAAAAGAAAAATTTTGAATCCGCACAGAAAAAAAAATAATAATAAAGAACGATTTTCAAATGATCAACATGATATTTAGACCAATTCCAATACTTTAACAACACCTTGACTATTTGCTGCTAATAAAATATTTTCACGCTAAATAAAATATAATTATTTAATAATTTTAAAATATTACAATACAAAAAAAAAAAAGATTTTCTTACATTACTCCAACACATAGCACTAACAAATTCTGATCCACTTTCATCTTTTTTTACACGTTCCTAATCAAATAAAAAATAACAAAATTCTTAATATTAAAATTATTTAACTTTTTTTTTACCGTTGTATTTGCTACTGTTTTAACTGTTCCATTATTTTGATCATCAAATTTATAACTAAGTAAAGGTCGAGAAATTTCACGTTGATATAAATGTACTGTATTTGTTTCACTTCCTTTAAAACAATAAAATAATTATTTTACTATTTGAAAATCAAAAAAAAAAATTTTTATCAACATACCACACACAATATAACCTGATGAAACTGCTAAACCAACAAAATTTTTTTCATTAACATGTCCACGATATGTTCTTAAACATTGTCCTTCTGTTACACGCCATAATCGTAGTTGACTATCTGTTGATGCTGAAACAATTTCATTATTTGATAAAAATCTTGCATATGATACAGCTTTTTTATGTCCTTTAAGTAAATTACAAGGTTCACGTGTATTACGTAAATCAAAATAATATAAATTATGATCAGCTGTTCCAAAGACAATATTATATTGAGAATCTGGTTTAAATTTAACACAACAAACATTTGATTTAGCATCAATTGTTGTAACAGAATAATCATTATGCATTGACCATATTTTAACTAAAAGAATTTAATTTAAATATATGTTTTGTTAAAGATAAAACATTTAAATCTACCTCGACAATCATCAGAACAAGATGCAAGTAATTTAGGATCTGATGAACAAAAATCAACACTCCATGAACGTTTTTCATGTTCCTTAAATAATTTTCTTTTAATTATATTACAAAAAAAAAACAAATTTTTACTTGAAATGTTCGAACTTTTTGTGCTGTAGCCATATCCCAAATAGTAACAAATCCATCATAATCACTTGATGCTAAATAATTTCTTAAATATGGATTCCAACTAATACAACTTAATTTAGCTGTACATGCAACTTCTTTTGTTGGATAATGTAATTCAACAGAATTATCCAATACAGATTGATATTCATATAACTTTAAGAAAGCAAAAAAAAAAAATTTTCTTTTAGAACGTTTTTTTTTCTGTCATGTCTAACTTCTTCAAGTGTTAATCGCTGATCGAACTCATATTTTGCTCTTAAATAGGACTCTATGAGACTAGCAGAAACCCAGAAGGATTTATCCTCATGCGCTGTCCTTCTGGAGTTACGACCGTTTTTTGGTCTCTGGCAATGATATCTATAGGGAAGCTCAACAATGGAATTTTGACCTGAAATTTTATCTATAAATAGGTCTTAGGATCACTAGAATCTCCTAAAAGTTTCAACTAAAGTGAACGTTTCTTTCTCAAGATCTTGAATTTCCAAGAAACTCGATTTTTTTGACCTTTGCCTTTGAAATATGATCGTTCCTTGAAAATATAATATCTTGAGAAAGTAACATTCATTTCAGCTGAAACTTTTAGGAGATTCTACTGATCATGAGACCTGTTTATGAACAAAATTTCAGGTCAAACTTCTTCCCTATAGATATCATTACCAGAGACCGAAAAATGGTCTTAACTCCCCAAGGACAGCGTATGGAGACGAATCCTTCCAGACTTCTGCTAGTCTCATAGATTCTTACTTATGGACAAAATATGAGCTCGATCAGCGATTAACACTTTAAAAGATTCCTTCGTAAGTTTTTTACTTTAATCTTTTTTGAAACACCAGCAACAGCAAAATGTTCATAATCACGATCAAATTCAATGCTAATCAACAAAATAAAAATAATCAATATATTGAAATTAAACAATAAACTTCTATACCTTGAGACAATGCTAGCTTGAGCAAAGTTTTCTCCAACAAAATTAACAGTAGCAATTGGTTTACAACGAGAATATTTTGTTACAGCTGCAAGACTATCACGGAATGTACTTAAACCACTATCAGAATTCCATAATCCATCTATGTAAAAAAAAAGAACAAATTGGATTAATACATTTGATAATTAAAAGCAAAAAAAAGAACAAAACACAAACCATTATCAACAGTTAATCTCAATGAATTTCTTGTTGAAAAATAAATATTTGTTAAATCATCCATAAAACGCATCATTATTTTTGTTCGATTTTCTATATCATCATATTGATTTGTTTCTTCCGGAACCTTAATAAAATATTATTAGATTAAAATAAAAATATATAATTAATACATACAATAGCACCAGTTGATACAATTCGTGAAGCTGTTGTTGTTGCTGATGAACTTGCTGTTGGTACTACATCTTGTTTTTCTGTTTTCATATCAGGTGTTGCTCGAAGATCCTTTAAATTGAACAAAACAAAATTCGTCAATAAATTTTATTTTTTTTAATAAATCTAACTTGTCCTCCTGATTGTATCCAAGTTGGTACAGTATCATTAACAATAGTAATATCATTTGATGGTGATGATAAATCTTCTTTACTATTACTTGTTGATTTTGATGATACTAATGAATTATCATCTAGAGTTTGTTTAATATTTGTATTTGTTGGAATATTCATATTTGATGATGATGATGAAGATTTTCTTCGTTTATTCATTTGTTTTAAATCATGATCAACAATATTTAATTCTTTTGATAATGATTCAATTGCCTAAATAATTCAAAGAAAATAATAAGAAAAAAATATTTTCATTTTTATTTACTCCACTTCGTTCATGATGAACATGTGTTAGAAATATTTCAAGTAAACGATTATGTATATATTCACTATTCTATTTAAAAAAAAAAAGAATAGAAATAAATAATTTATAAATGAAATAAATAAAACAAACTGAATCAATTTTTTCTTTATGTTGACGAATAATAGAAATTAATCGATCAAGATCTTGTGCACTTAATGTATGAATATTTGTTACCATATCAGAAATATGATCAACAAGACTCTACAAATAAAGAAATTTATTGATAAGATTTTATTTCAAAACAAAACAAATTTACTCACGCCATATTTAGCAAATGTTTGAGGTAAAGGTCGTTGTTGACGATATTTTTCAATTATTGCATTTACTATTAATGAAAACATGAATCGATGATCTTTTGTTTTTTTTTTTTGAAAGAATTCAATTCATTTAGATGAATCAAGACGAGCGTTGAAAGTCAATTAACTTTCATTGATATGAATAGATAAAGTTATGGTTATCAACTGACATCAAATAATACATTTTCTGGTTTTTACATATATTTTTGAAAAAAATATATAATGAGTATGAGTTTAGATTAAGGTTTTTTCAATTCTCCGTCACTTCTATGTTCTATTAATCAACGATGAGAAGAGAAAAGCGAAGGATCATTGAGTGCATTTTCCTAGAAGCGGAGGAAAGAAGGCTACTGGTAATTGAGTACATCTTTTGAATAAAACGAGGTGAAAGAGGAGACTAACGATCCTAGTATATGCTTTTATTGCGACGAAAAAAAAAAGGTGCATCAGTATAATAACAATGATTAAATTATTCTGTAATTTTCTAGAATCATTCAATGAATCCAAGACTTAGTCTAAATATTGTAGGGTTTACTATTCACTCCAGCAAACAGATCTTTTCATGTAAGTGTCAAACAGTAGAATATTGCATAATATTAATCTAACAGAATCAAAAATAGAATGTACATAGAAAAATATAAACTAATTCAATTTAAACTTTAGACAAAAATTAATCAGTATATGTCTAAAATTCGTCTAGAAAACGGATTTTGTACTCGATAATTTACTGAATGATTAAATCGATTTGTATAGTAGATTAATACCATGATGAAACTCATGAAACAAAGATATTTATTGCTTTCTATAGCATGTAAAAAAGTTTATGTATGAAAGATTTATGTGATATACAAATAAGTTTCTTTTTTTTTAAATCCTCTGATAATAAACCATAAATTTATATCAGTCCGAGTTTGTGATTTTCATATGTTGATTCTTCATGAATCAAGTTTCATAAAACTAGAAACTCTTAAGTTCATTGTTACTTATACAAGTCAAAAATCTGAAACTATCTTAAAACAATAATTACTTAATCAGAAATGATAAACAATTTTGCTTCTGTTTATGTTGAAATCATACGAATATGATACTGAAAATTTGCACTTGTTTTTTTTACTAATTATGAGCAACAAGTTCTATGTATGATATTTTGAACAATAGAATCCTTCGATTCATTAATATATCCGTACAATTCTGCGACAGTTGAAGTTTATAAATTCAGGTGAGCTGTAAGAGATGCGATTGGTTCATGTTTCTTTTAGAAATCGAACCAATTTCATCTCAAATCAATTCTATCATATTTCTGTGAATAGTTCAAAAGAACTTTTGGTACAAAGTTGTTTTTCAAAAGAATTGTTGGATAAGAACTAATAATGACCTGTCGTATGCCTAACAATTACTTAAATCATTCTGATATAAAAAAATAAGTTTCGCAAAAAATTGAATGATCATTCTAATGAATATTTGAAATAAAATATGATTGATTTTCTTACATGTATAATTTGGAAAAATTTCCGATGGTTGAAGACTTAGTTGACATTTGGGACATCGACGATGAGATTCAACTGTTCGTTGAAGACATTTACTACTACAAATTAAAAAAACATTTTAATCAATTCTATATTTATTTATATAAATCTTACCAGAAACTATGTCCACATCGAGAAACATATGCTTCACTGATTAATTCAAAGCAGATTGGACTAATATATATCAAACAAAACAAAAAAAAAAATTCTAGTATACATTCAATAATTTTTCTTTTTTTAATTACCAATTGTATTCTTCTTCTATACTATTAATAAAAGTTGATGATGTTTCAATTTTTGGTGATATTTTGTTAGTTGTCGTTTGAGACTGTATTGATGGAGTATCATCTGGTCGTGTTCGTTTAATACCAGACATGATTGAAAATATATAAAATTGAACTGTACTAAAAAAGTACAATTTTGTAAAATAAGAAAGAATGTTCTTCTTACTTCTATCGTGTTATATATGTAAATGACAAAGATTATATATATATACAAATAAATGCACTATCTCTCTCTCTCTCTCTCTCTGTCTTTACCTCTTTGTCTAAGGACTTTTGTTTTTCTATCTTCAACACACGACAATAACCTAGATAGAGTAAGTAATAATCTTATTTGGAAAAAAAAATAAACAATCGTATTGATATAATGACAATTGAAATGATTTATTATAATCTTAATAGTTTCTATTTGTGGTTACAAAAATTTATAATTTCAATCATTTGATTATTACACAAGGAGAACGTAATCAAGATTTTCATTGGTCATTGCAATGACTAATAATAAAGAAAAAAAAATAAGAAACAAGGACGACGAGTAAAAATAATATATATATATAGCTAATTGATTGTATACTTTTAATATTCTAGACTCATTAGTTTAGTTAATATTATTCAAGTCTCACATTTGTCATACTTAAAAAAATAATTAATCTTCATATGAACTAAGAATCATTATCTATAATAGAGAAATGTTTTTTTTTTTACTTTTTCTATTCATAGTTGAATTGATAATTAATGTTTCATAGTAAAATTCTTACAAAATATATGTAAACCTATAGATATTATTAAAAACTAATGAAAATTGTCAATGATTAATTAACGTATTAAGCTTTCAGTTAAATAAAGTATATAATAGGATTATATTCTTATATTGTAACTAATTATTGATGACGGAGAAAATTGAAAGTGAAAAGTATTAATTTAATCATGTAAAATATCACGCTATTTGTCAACCAAAAAAATCTACAATCAAGTTTTTCAGAATTAAATAAAAAAAAGCCTGAAAATTATTTTCGTAATTTTCTTAAATAAAAAATTTTATATTAATACTTAGCACACTAATAAGCCGTAAATATACATACTAATATTATCACCTGAGATATTTACAAGAAAATAAATAATAAAGATGAAATCATATTATGACCTACATATGCTTCAGGTGAGTTCATAAGAATTTCATCATTGTATATGTGATTATTCTCATATTGTAATTTTTTTCCCTTTCTCTTGTTGTTAGTTATGCGTCATGAGTTTTTCTTTCTTCATAATCAATGGTTTTTCTTTTTTTACCGTATGATTTTCCTTGTCCTGTTATTACCAAAGATATAATCGTTTCATTATTATGAAGAGTTTGGATGCATACAGATATGTATGGAAGTAAACTTCAGATGAAATTAAGATCTTAGAGATCGATTCTTGATTTTTTTTCGAATTGAACTGGTTTCTTTTTTTTTTTGATAAATATAACTTTATGTAACGAAGATAAATTATAGATTATGTTTGAATGATAGAAATAGTATCGTTCAAACATAATCTTAAATGTAATACTACATAGATACAGCTTTGAAGAATCTAAAATGGAAATATAGATTTCTTCAGCAAAATGAACATAGTACATTTTGTTTTTCTCAGCAACGTGTAAAAAGCACGAATTTTAAAAGATTGTAAGTGTTTTGTACATTTTAATTCTATTATGCTTCAGTTGCTATTGGAAATGTTTGTCTGAGAAGCTAAAAGCAATTTGTTCATCTCGATTACTAGAGACATCTAGGATATCTTCAAAACTCGTCAAAGAAAAAATATGCTTTGAAACAATATTTAACTATAAAAATAGAAATATTTGAATGATTTGTCTTATAAAATAATGAAGATTTCAATGTAGAATTCGACTGAAAATTAATCCAATCAAAATGAAATTAAGAGAGACCGATAAACAACATGAAGTTGTCTTTTTCATTTTCTGTATAGAATACAAAATTTAAAGATAATAATTAAGTTTTTTTTTTAGATTTCAACTTTCTAATATGGCTCCAAAAAAAGATACTAAGGAGGCCTCAGCTTCAGCAAAAAAGAAAGACACTCCAGCTGCTACAACAACAACAACAGCAACTGCCAGTGCCAAAAAGCCTACAAAACCAACAAGTAGTACATCAGCATCAGGCAAAGATGCTACTAAAGTTGTTACAAAAGATCGTAAAGAAAAGGTTCAAACAAAGGCACTCAAAGCTAAACAAAGAGTTGTTCGGTAAATACTAAAAAAAAGAAAAAAAAAAAAATTTACTTCTTTCTTTCTGATTTAGTGGTAATCAATTAACACGTAAACGTAAAATTTATACAAAACCAAGATTTCGTCGTCCATTTACACTTCGTTTACAACGACAACCTAAATATCCTCGACGATCAGTACCAAAACGAAATCGTCTTGATCATTTTGCTATTATTAAATATCCATTAACAACTGAATCGGCTATGAAAAAAATTGAAGATAATAATACATTAGTATTTATTGTCAATATTCGTGCTAATAAACCATTAATTAAACAAGCCGTTAAAAAAATGTATGATGTTGATGCTGACAAAGTTAATACATTAATTCGACCTGATGGTGAAAAGAAAGCTTATGTTAGACTCAAGGCTGATCATGATGCACTTGATGTTGCTAATCGAATTGGTATTATATAAAAAATTTTGGTTTTTTTTATTTATACATATCAAATCGATACAAGAAAATAAAAAAGAAGAGATTTTTTTTTTCCGTTGATTATTTATGCTCAATTTTTTTTTAAAATAACAAATAAAAACAAGATTATTGAGCATAAAAAAAAAATATATATATATATATGTTTTAAAACAACAAAAATATAAAATTCTATTGATGATGGCGAACATTGAACATATATATGGATTGTTCGAGAACATGTATGTTTTCAAAAAACGTATACTAACAATTGAATATATTCTGTCATTATAATTTTTTTTGTTTTTACTTTACCATTTGTTTATGATCCAAAGGAGAGCAAGATGAATCTATTTTTTATTAGATAAAGTTTTAGTGATATATCTTTCGATCTATTAATTATCAGATATAATACATGGCAACTATTTCAAAGACTTTAGTTTCTTCACAAAGTATAAGATATGTTCAACATTATAAATACTTATAATGGTTACGATAATTATGCGAGCTAAAAATGGTGAATGAACATTGATATCATTTCAATAAAAATCAGTATATATATATTGGGGATGCAAATGAAAGAGAAAGTTTTCTGACCTATTATATGACAATTTTAGCATATGTAGGAGTATAATGTATATTAAAAAAAATAAAATAAATATACGTTCAAAAAATCTCATCTAGCAGACTTTGAAGAAAATCTTTGTCTTACAAATAATTCATCTAGATTAATCATAATGTTTTAGTCTTTTCTATTTCTATCAACTGCAGTCTTCTTCGAGATAAATTTCTTAAATAATAACATTAAATGTGATTCTTGCATAAAATGAGTCAATCTCATTGAAAAGAAAATAAACATTTAAAACATATGATATTCATTTTTTTTAATTTTTTCGGACGTTGGTCGACATGACTGCGTTTATGTCACAAGTAATTGAACGAAGAATCAGAATATACTCGTACTTTCCTTTTTCTTATATTCATCACGCTGGAATTCACATTAATAATCACTTACATTTTGGTGCTTTTTTTAGTTTGCTAATGTGCAATAGATATTGGTTCAATCACAACGATTACATTTAATCGTTGCATCATTCAGGCGTGTAATGTTCTTATAATTTTTGAGACTGTGGTATATTTGCTCTACATGTATCTTTTTATGAGCCGTTCAAACGTTGTCACTCTTTTATTTCACATTCACGAGGAAAGATCTTCGAGTGTTTTCGTGAGATTTCAACGAATACTAGATGAAACTGCTTTAATAAAAAATGTTATAGTTAAAACATTGTTTAATTAGTCATGAGTTGACTAGACTTTTTGCGCTTATTCCAAGTATGTTATAGGTTTTGGCTCGAATTAGTATTTGTCGATTGGTATATAAAGGTTTACATGAGCCGAACTATGTGGGTCTTTATCAGTCGACAAGACAACTAGTAGGATAGAACTTTCAGCTAACCTATTATTGACTGCCGATAAAATGATAAATCAAAAACACTGAAGAGTTTCTTTAATAGACTTGTCGTTAAACCAATCGATGTAGAGTTAAATCATCTATCAGCCGAGAATATTCCGAAATAAAAGTGACATCGCTATGTAAAGAGTAGTATTTTGAGTCGTTATTGGTCTAGATATTACTGAATCACTTTGAAAATACTACTAAACAACTCAACGTAACATTCTGCATGAGCTTTCACAATTCAAGAGCGGATTGATTAAATCCTTGATGCACCCCTGTCATTTATCAGTGCCCTCTAATCTTCAATTCACTGTCGCTCGGAACATTACAGAACCGTATATTTTTCAAGCTTCAAAAATACTTGTCGCTTAAAAAATTCGCAGAAGACTATGCTTAACATATAAGTTTTGTACCTTTTTGACTAGTACTCAGCAGATTTCGTTCACAAAAAAATATAACTTGAGTTAACTTATGAGGGATGCAGTTTTTTCCATCGAAACACTCGCCCGTGATCATCATTCTCAAGATGTAATCAAACAATGTTTTAACTGTAACATTTTTGTTTTTATTAAAGCAGTTTTAGCCGCTAGTTTTTCCAGATTTAAGATGACAGTATTTGACTTGACAAATTCTCGTTTGAAATAAAAAGAAAAGTCCCTCTCCGAATCGCATACCTATTTAAATGTGGTTCTGCTAAAACTGAAAGCTTATCAGATGCATTTTTCCTACAATTATTTAAGGATGAAAACATAAAACACTACCGAGTTAATTATATGTAGTAAATAAGATGTGGCAAAATGTCTGAAATGAATTCTTAAAAATCAATCTTTGTGTCATTTGCTTTTCTTTTATTTCTTTCAAAAATCAAAACTGTAGTTTAGATGATGATAACAATAACAGTGAATAGAAAAAAAAAGAAAAACAATCATCAATGACTAAGAAAAGCAATGCTACGTATAAAT